CTCCGGGCGGGGGACGCGCCGGGCTCGGGGCACCCGCTCCGGAGCTGCCCCTGCCCCTCGGGGCTGCGGGGGGACGCGGGAGCCCCGGCCGTGGGAAGGGCGGCAGGAGGTTGGGGGGCGGGGGTGGCAGCCGTGCTGGGCCAGCAGCTCAGCGAAACCAGCCCCACGCATACACAGAGCCCTTCCAGGAGAATCGATGCCGCCCTTGCAAATCCAACAGGCTGTCCTGGACGCGGGGTGTACTTTAGGGGCTGGGGAACCCCCGCTCGGGCTTCCTCCTGGTGTTGGTGCCGAGCACAAATCCGAGGCGAGGGCACTGCACGCTGGAGACCTGAAGAGGCTGAAGTGCATCGCTGTGTGGAGCGCGTTGGTTGGCAAATAGCGTTCTCCTTCCTGAGATTCGTTATGATGTTCTTGTGGTGTATTTGCGGAAGCTGGAGTACTCTGAATACTTGGGTGTGTTTTAAAATCAAATACGAAGTACACGCATGGGTGCATGTATAAGAGTTGTCTCTCCCATCCACCCTAAAAATAACCGGCAGCTTCATCCTCTGGGCTGGTGCCAGTGTGTGACTGAGCTTCTGGCCTTTGCTTTGTCACCTCCTGTCCCAGGTGAGCATTCACTCACTCAGGAGCTGATTTGTTTGGACTGGGTATCTGTTTTTTCTCTCCTTTGGAAGCTGATGTACTTGAAGGCATTACTCAGCAGAGCAAGAACCAGTGAGGTAAGAAGTCCATCTCTGTAATGCCAAGAGGAGGTGAAATACCCTGACTTTGCTCTGAGCTCTGTGAAAGACTCTCTGTGACTGCCAACTTACGTCCAAAGTCCCTCTCTGCTAAATTGTTGTTTGAAACGACAGGCCCCTGTCAAAACCTTCAGTTTTACTTGTCATTTTTTCCTAGTCAGGAGATCTTTACCCATAGTAAACCCTGTGATGTGCATGCGAGGGATTGAGCTACTTCTCAGTAGAGAAAACAGAAAGATATAAAAGAAGAGGTGAAGAAAAATTTTTCATCTTAGCTTCTCAAACTTTGTGAAAAGCTCTTACCTGGGTGTGGGGGAACCGGAGCATTGAGATGAGCACATTTGTGCACAAGTACTTAGTGGAGAAGCTCAGTGGCTGAGCAATGCTTTTTCCTGTGTCAGCTTTCTTCTGCAGCGATTGTTCACATAAGCTTTGTGAAAACCCTCTACAAGATGCATATAAAAGTTGCCTTGTTTTTGTGAGCCGTGGAGGTGGAGCTGCCTGTGCAGTACCGTGTGTCACAGCTTGCTCAGGGACTGACTGGTGCAGTGCTAGCAGTGGCTGGAGGGAACAGGAATCAGCATCTATTTGCATGGTGTCTTAGTCTCTATTTCCTCTGGGGCAAACTGTCAGTAAATCACTTTTCCCCACTATCTTTTTTCTTATTCCGTTTTTTTCTGGTTCTCACATTTCTAAGAGCATCTTTCATTTGTTCCCACAGAGCAGCAGGAGCAGTTCTGTTGTGAAGTCTTAGGTGTTACAGGGAGGCAATAGCCACTACACCAAAAAGTCAGTATTTCACAATATTTTGGAGGTTTATTTCAAGTCTTTTTTTTTTTTCCCTGTTAAAACCCAATCCTTGAACTATTCTGTTATATTCTCAGCTGATTCCAAACATGAGGTGAACACCTGAGCTGCTTAGGGAAGGAGTTTGCAAAAGTTTGTCATGGCAGCAGCATCTGCTTACCTGTTACAGGTGGTTCCAGACAGATGGAACAAGATGCTGTACTTAAACATGCTGACCTGCATTTAAAACACAATGGAAGTAACTTGATTAGGCTGCCCTTAAAAAAAACCCAAACCATAAACCAAACCCCAAACCTTTCCTTCTTCTCTCTGAAAGCCTAGCCAATACCATGATACTTGAAGTAGACTTTTCCTTCCCTTTCCTTCAGTTATGAGAGTTCCATCCTTAAATAAGATGTCCGTGTTTCACGGTAGGTACAGAAAAACTTGTCACTTGTTAATGAAGAAATTGCTCCTGATTTTTGGGTTGTTAAGCTTCCTCTTGCTGATTCCTGTTTGAGCTTGCAGGGTTTGGGAGTAGCTGGTATTTGAGGTAATGTGCATATCTGTGCTGGCAGAGGAGTCAGAAGCTGACTTTGCCGTGTAGATGCTGTGTTGCTAATTTTATCTTTTTAGATTACATTCTGTGTCAGAGATGGCTTTGTCCTTTTTGCTTTGCAGTCTCAATGCAGCGAGGGGGAAAACTTTCTCCTAAACATGGAAACATAAATTGCTTACATGCTTTGAAAATAAAAGTACACCCAAAGATGCTCCCTGGAGTCCTAAGGGTGGCTTGGAAATTTGTTTGGATTTATTTATGTAGATAATTCAAATTAATTCATCTTTGAAACTCAAAATACTTTGCAGTACAGCTGTACACCACTCCCAAATATTGGTGACTGAGTGCTTGGTGTTCGGTCTTAAAATTCCAATGCAGTCAGTGGGTGATTCTTTCATCTTAAAAATGTTTTGGCAGAACCCTACTATGTTTTGCAGCCTAGCCAAAGCCTCTGAGAGCTTGTGCCAAAGTGTAGCTCCCAGGATGATTTGTAGGACCAGTCAAGGTAGTCTGACTGGTTTGACATGGAGAAAGTGGTTCATCCTGCACAACCTCCTCCGCGTTTATTCATGATTTGGGTTTTCCTGTGTCCATGACCATCCTGGAACCCTGATGGAGCCCTATCAGATGCTCTTGAGTTGCCTGGTTGAGTTGTATGCAAGGTTTTATGAAAATACAAATATTTGATATCTTCATGAGATGCTTAGTTGCTTTTATCACTTTGGGGTACAGGATGGGGAAAAGGGAAGGTTTGTCTTGTGGTTTTCAGGTGGTGATTAAAAGGTCACAAGTCAGTAAATTAAACAATAAATTAAACAAATTTTTTTTTTGCATATTTTTTTTTGGTTTTGGAACTAAGTCAAAGTTAAAGAACATTTTCCAAGTACTTCCAGTATCCCTATGGAGTATTTGCAGCAGGATCATTGCATAAAGGAGCCTGAAAATAGAACTCAGCTGGAAGGGAATTACTGGCTTCTGTTATTTCTGCATGTTAAAAGCAAACCAATGGAAGCTGAATGGTTCCTAATTTTTTTAGAAGACCTTGCCTGTGATCCTGATGTGCAGGGCACTTGTCTTGAGTTCAGCTGAAGACCTGTGTTGTGAAATGGGAGCTGCAGGGCTACGCCCGGTGTCATTAGTGTTTTTAATTGCTTCAAAAACAGAGAAATGAAACTGTCCATTAATGAGATCTGTTGGATAATAGCTTGAGCAATAGCTTATGGTACTTTGTTGATTCTAAAGGGTTTGTTTCGACTGTGTGCTGTGTGTGCTGTTTTAGACCCTGTCCAAGGGTTAGCCAGGGCCAGCAGCTGTTCTGTAGCAGCTGGGACACGGCCACTTCGACTGTGTTGAGAATTTGGGGTGGTGCGATGTGGATGCTGCAACTAGAGGCTGTGATTGCTGAAAGGGTGTATAAATATGAGTTAAGATGCTGTCAGCACGATTTATAAACTCTGTTCTCTTGGAGAGAAGAAACAGTAGTAATTCCTGTTTTCTGTGGAATAATTGTGTCGCTGTCAGAAGGGGCTGTGTGGTGCTTGGTTGGGTTTGGCCTAATGGGGAAAGAGTTGCTGAGTCAAAATGTGCTGCACTGAGCAGGAAGTTTTCACTGAAAGCAACTGCTTCCTCTTGCCAGTCAGAAATAGCAGCTCCTAATCCCTTTTCCCAGTTTCGTGAGGCTTTTCCATGACGGGTACCATTTTTTTCCGAAGGCTGTATGCATTGGCGTGCTGAATTCTGTATCCAGAAATCTGTTTTGGCATTTCACATCCTTAAGAAGCATATGTACATCCTTTTGACTATTTCTTAGGGAGAAAAAAAGCAGGAAGAATAATCAAGGTTCTGTATGTATAGCACATGTTCTTATCAAAATATTGTTCTGGTGACGGCCTTCTCCAAGGCTGACTGTCCATCCATTTCAGATGGATGTTGTACATCTCTCCTCAAATCTACTGGAGCCACACAGGAATGAAGTCAGATAAGGTAATTTACTGGTGCCTGATAGCATCACTAAAGTGGGTGGTTGGCACTATGGTGACCTTGGGAATGAGAAACCTGTCTGGTGATGTGGGACCTCTTGTCCCCCAGCAGCAGGACCCTGTGGGCTGAGGACACAGGTGAGGTTCAGCCAGCCAGGAAGGGACAGGGAATGCAGTGCTGCTAATGTAAAATACTATGATTATATTATTGTTGAGAGCTTGAAAGTCCATTTCTCTCCCTGCTGAGAGACAAGATTTCTTTGTCAGCCTCACCTGAGCGGTCCAATTTTCGGGGGAGATTTTTCAAGTATGAGATTGGGTCACAGTGTTTGTGGTGTTCTCCTTTATTGTCCTTCCATGTGCACATGCCCTGCTGACAGAGCTTCATCCTCAGTCGCTGGAGAGCTTCGAGCCAGATCATTTTTCCCTTGCCATTACTCTGACACAATAAATCCGTCGTAATGTTTTTTTATACATGGGAAATTTTAGCTCCAAGGCGCCCCCTGAGAAGGTGGAACAGCGAATAAACCCCAACCCATCTCCCGTGAAAACAAAGGTGCCGATTGAATTCCTGTAGCGGCACGCAGGGATGCGAGCGGAATACAAATGCGGCTTTGTATTGCTGGAGCTGCTCCTTTGTATTCGGGGGCGATGGTTGGGGGTGCGGCGGTGCCGTGCCCGCTCCCCGGCGGGCTGGCACAGCGCTGTGCCGAGGAGCGCCTGACTGCCGGCCCCGCATCGGCAGCGTCTCGGCAGCATCCTGGGAATCGCAGGCGATCACATGAGCCTGGATTTCCAGCTCAGTTCATTAGTCAGCCATTTTGGTCGCCACCCTGCTCCCTGCGCACAGCCAATCCCGGCGGCACTCGCTGCCCGGGCTGCGCCGGGAGAGGCGAGCAGCGCTCGCATCTCGGCACACCGGGGCTCTGCCTCTCCGCTCGTCCTTTGTTTTTTTCCTGGGGTCATCACCAGAGCAAGACGTTCTTTTTTGATTCTGCTGCCTTTTTTTTTTTTTTTTTTTTTCTTTTTCTATTTTTTACTTGTTTTTCCCTGCTGCCTCTGGTGCAGAAGCCGGCTTTTCTGTGGATGCTGAGGATCAGTAGCCTCTAGCATAGCTGGAGACGACGGCAGTCGGTGGAAAGGAGGGAGGCAGAGCTAAGCGGGAAGGAGCAGCGTTTTTACCTTGCTTGATCTATGAAAAGGCCAGAGCAGCCTCTGTGATCCTGAGCAATCTGTCCTTTAATCGCAAGGTATTTCCGATTTTCTTCTTCAGAAAGCTTTTGTTTTTAGTCCTTATTTTGCCCCCGTTGTTGTTGTACCAGCTGAGTCATCATGTCTGCTCTGACGCCTCAAAGCGACATGCCAACCCCCACCACAGACAAGATCACTCAGGCTGCCATGGAGACCATCTATCTTTGCAAATTCCGCGTGTCCATGGACGGAGAGTGGCTGTGCTTGCGTGAGCTGGATGACATCTCGCTGACACCCGACCCCGAGCCTACCCACGAAGGTACGGTCCGGCCGTGCCCCGGGAGCCCCGGGCCGGCATTGTTCCGTCCGCCGCTGCACGGCTGGGGAGGGGGCGGCTCCAGGAGCTCGTGGCCCTCCTGCAGAGCCTGGGCACAGCACCGAGCCCGATTGCTGCTTCACATTGCCCTCCGAGTTCCTAACGAAGCCCTTTAAGGCACATCGGTGATGAATTATCCTTTTAGCCGTAGCAGGTTTGTGTATCTCAGGAAGGAAGAGAAGCGGGATGTGTGATCAGGGAGAAGATGTAATGGTGATTCTGCCCTTAAACCGGGGCTGATGGCTCTGCTAGTGAGCTGCCAGCTGGTCCCGGGGGAGCAGCGCCCCAGCGTGTGCCTGGTCGTGGGGAGTTGTTGGAAAGCCCCAGCGATTACGCAGCGATGCCCACTGTCAGGTGACGATGCCATCACGGTGGCCCAGCTCGCCTCTGCTGTTTGTCGTGTCTTGGGAGCCTGGAACGTGGGGATGGATGTGGCACATCTCGCTTTCCCCTGGAAAAAGGATTTGTCGTTTGGGTTGGTGAACAGTTTAATAGCAGGACGAGGATTGAATGCTCTGAGAGTACTAAAAAGCGTGAGGGGACATATGTGCAGTGCTCTGCCGATAAACAAGCGGGGAAGAGGGAGAGGTGATGAGTTTCTGCAGGTGCTGAGGTTGTAAGTGCCCTTGCTGGATGCACCTTTTGGTTTTAGAGCGAGGAGGGCCCAGCTTCTCATGCCTGCCCCTTTTCCAGTAACTCCTGAAATGCCACTCCACCTTGTCTGGCTTGACCCGTTTGATGCTGCCTGGTTAAGTCAGCAGTCTCTTACATTGTCTTGCTGAATGAGGGTGGTGAAATTGTGGTGGGGATTTAAGCTTTAAAATAAATTTCCAGGGGATAATTTAATTTCCATTTGACAGCTGCTTTCAGTGACAGTAGCCCTTGGGTTTGGATTTGGCTTGCCAAGTACTTAGTCACGCAGTGGGATACCAGACAGAGGTTTCAAAAGGAGGAATTTAACATTCCCTCTGAAGTGTATCCCAGGGCTTCGGGGAGGTGAGGACAGGGTGAGCAGGAATTCAGCTGTCTTCCAGTTCCTGTGTTCTTGTGTGTGACACTGAGACCTTCCTTGGTTTACTCCAGTGTTTTTCAAGGTGTAATTACTGTCACTCTCCGGTGAATACCAGAGAGGGGTTAGAAAACAGCATTTGCTCATTTCTTTACCATATTATTTAATTCGTATGTCAAAAATAAATGCAAAATAGCAAAGCCATAACAACCTCCCAGGAGATCTTTCCGCATGTGTAAATTAAGGCTGCTCACTGGTTGTTTGGGAGGTGTATTTGGATCCAAGTGTATTTGGAGCAGAGAAGGTCAGGAAAAGCGTTGACAATAGGAAAGCTGACACAGCTGTATCCCAGCCTTGGGTCTGCTGCTACTGCATCAGCACTGCTGCTGTGTCTGCAGGCTTTGCACAGGTCAGGGGGACAGGAGTGTGGGCTTGTGGCCCTGGGAGTGTCTCCATTAAAAAAAACCGAACTGATGTGCAAAGGTAGGCGTTACGAAGAAGGCAAAAAAAAAAAGCTGTAGAATTGTGCCAAAGGCATAAGGAAGGGGGACAGTTTCTTCCTTAGAAATCAAGACATGTCACGTATATGTTGCAGTAAGTACCGAATCCGCCAGCTTGTTGGAATAAAGATTTGAAGCCTTCCATTTGCTGTCCCTCTGCTCTTGCTGCTTCTGGAGAGGTTTGTCCCTGGCCTCTCTTCACCATGTGATCAGCCCTCAAGCAGCCCTCCTGCCTTCAGAGCCAGGCACAGCAATTCCAGTCCTGCACAGAGCTTGGGAGCAACTAAGCAAAACTTACCTTCAATTAAAAACAAGCAGCAGATATTGAGTTGCTTGCAACCGTGTATTTTCCATATAACCTGTAGCGTGGCCGCTCAATTTAACAATTAAAGCAATAATACACTTTTCCAGTTGGTTGAAACAATTCTGTGGGCATATGAAAATAAGCAGATTCTGCTGTTTACTGTAAATCTGCTCAGATTAGAAAAATAACTTTTTTTTTTTTAAACAAGCTGTGATTCTTAATAAGACTCTCAGAACCTTACTATTCTCTGCAGGCCCCTCAAAATTAAATGTGACAGGTGAAGGGTGGTTGTTAAACTCGTTTGCGTGCAGTGTGTGATGGTCTTTGAGGCAACTTCAAGGATGGAGATCAAAACCACTGGGATTGTGTTTCTGTTCAATGTTGAACAGAGTGTGTGTATGGATGGCATTGAACACTGGTCTCAGCTTTGGAGAGAAGTTACAACAAACTTTTTTAGGCTGTTTTACTGCACGTTAAATTTCTGTCTGGAATAATCATGAGGAGCTTCACAGTAGATCTCCTCATGGGAATTTTTATCCTCATGGGATAACCTTGTAATAGCATCCAGAAGGAATACCTGTGCAAACGTGAGAGAACTTCCAAGAATTACAGTATTTCTCCTTTTGTTAGTCCTCATCTATTTGCACTAAGAGGAGAAATTAGAATTCAAATTTATAAGATGGAAAGATAAAATTATCTTTTCTCTAGGGCAGAAGCCAAGGTGAGACTTTTTCTTCTTTTTTGGCCAGTAATTTCAAAGTGTTAGTTTCTGACACGTGGTTGTGTAGAATGCCCTGACGAGGAGTTGTAGAGCTCTTCAGGAAAAGCAAAAGTTCTTCTTAAAACCTCCTGCCCATTAATCTGTTGTACAGGTTATTGAATCATTTGTCAGATTTTACCTTTTCTCTGCATTTTCTACCCAAGTGTTTTTCCATGTTTCTTTGTGGACTTCAGAATGGTTCAGGGAAGCAGCATAACCTTAGCGGTTGTACTTTTGTTTTGCAAACTGGCAACTGTTAACTTGGGTTAGGGTTTCTCTAGGAGTGTGGAATAGGAACAGTGGAGTTGTGGGAGAGGTGGAATTTCTCAGTGCTTCTGGCCTTGCCCATTACAAAACAAATCTGACTCGTACAGAGAGTGGGAGGGATCTTTCAGGTGTGGACAACAACCTGTGTGAGATGACTCTGTAGTTGGAAAAAACCTCTTAAAACACATCGGGTGATAGAAACCCCTAAATTAATGAGAAGTCTGAAGGAGCTGGAGACCAGATTTAATGGAAGAAATGTGAAGTCAGTAAATGCAAGGTAAATGAATTGCAGCATGTTTGTGGTCATAAATCTTGGGAATAGCAGTTAGATCATGTAATCCAGAGTTCAATTCAGAAATTACTCTAAAGAGCTGTTTTCTTGGTTTTTTTTAAGCTGTGTCAGTCTAAATGAAGTCAGAGCTGGGGAACTCGGGGCAGCTTTATATCCCTCAGAGGTGGAGAGTCCAAAGTGCTGCAGTGAAACCACTTGGGTGTCAACTGAACTGGGAAGTGAAAGATGGAGGAAAAAACCCAAGGGTTTGGGTTTTTATTTTCTTGGTGTAAACTATCAAGGACTACAATAGGATGGGAAATTTCCCACGGCAGTTAGTCATGTCTTTCCCTCTGAAATCAGGCTGATTGTGCAGAAACATTCCATGTAGCTGCACACAGTTGCAACACAGAGAAATTGGGTAATGATTTGATGGTAGTCATGTGGAGATGGGAGTAAGACTTAGGGTGGGATTGAGCTGTGACTTCATGTGATGTACACTGGTTGTTTATTTGTCCCATAGGTGTAATGGAGGGTGGGCTGGGAATTTCCAAGTTGTATGTACTTCTTTATTTCCTTTTATTTCCTTCTGGTTTGTTGCAGATCTTCGGCTGTTCTTCTGTATGCAAGGCTCTCTGTAGATGTGTGTATTTAGAGAGGGAATTTTTATGCAGTGGGTTTTAAAACAAATGGTTTTTTTTAAGCTACCCTGTTCTGAGTAGATGGTTCCTAGCACGCCAGGCTGAAGACTGCCTAGTGGCTTCGCTGATTTTGGGCTTGCAGGGTGTTTGAACGCGATGCTGAAATGCTTTGCTGATCCCTTTTCTTTGTCAACAATTCCTGATCCGTCACATTGGCAAACCCAGACTGAAAGAATTAGTTTTGTACCGCCCACAGCATGAACAGCATCTCCCTAATTTTCTTCCTTGACCTCTTTATTTGCTATTAAATGTATTCCTAAGGGAATGAATATCAGAATGCAGTTGTAGAATAGTAATGTGACCAAAGGTTCCCCTTTGATAATGAAGGAATATTTGTCCAGATTTGGGCCAAACCTTTCCCAGCAGCAGGGCTGACCTGGCACCATCACTCAGGACTTTCTATATCAAGCTCAGCTGTCACTTCCCAAAACTGACGCCTTGGGGTTTTTTAGGTTATTTTACTGACAGCTCAGCTTCTCCTTAGGAGTTTGTTTAAAATTTCTGTACTTACACATAATTTTTAAAATCCTGACCTACTTAAAAACTTGTGACCTTTTCTTTCCAACGGAGTAAACCGTGTGAGGGTGGGCAGGCCCTGGCACAGGGTGCCCGGAGAAGCTGCAGCTACCTCTGGATCCCTGGAAATGTCCAAGGCCAGGCTGGGGTGTCCCTGCCCATGTAGGGAACAGGGGCAGGGGGTTGAATGGGATGAATTTCCAAGTCCCTTCCAACCCAAGGCAGTCTGTGATTCTGTGATTCTATTTCATCTCTCTTTGGAGGATCTTGGTTCTCCTGTCAAGATGCTCTGTGTGAGGTGATGCTCATTGGTTCAGAAAGGTTTCGACTCTCAACTCTATTTTAGCCTAATAACTTCAAACCTTAATAACAAAGTAAATGTCGAGCAGCAGTGTGAAATAATTTTGATGCTGTTGCATTCTCCTAGGGTTTACTTGTAAAAGCTTTCTTTGGCTTGGGAAGGTATCCCTGCTCCTTCAGTGGGATGCTGCTGCTGGGTCAGCAAAGGGAGTGACTGTAAAACCCTCCTTTGTCCAAATACCAGATGGGATTTTCCTGATTCAAATATTAGAGACAGGTTCTCTGGTCCCTTCCTGAAGAACTGGCTTGAGTGTT